TTTTCCCAGACTGGCACAACATCCAAAGGATTTTTTTTTAAATTATTGTACGCCATTTTCAATACAAATGTTCTTCTTCCATCTCAGAAAGGTGGAAGAAAGAGTATTAAAAGGGTTAATTTTTAAGTGGATTGATTTATTCCTGTAATTCATCAATGCATTTATTTTGAAATAAATAAATGTAGGCTGAATGGAACAAATACTCGTCTAGATGGCTATTTTGGAACTCAAAAGGAACTATGAACTAAACATTTCTAAGTAGGCTTCATACTGAGATTAAATTTCTAATTTATTCTGTGTTGGAGTTGTTTTTCCAACCCAGAAATTCACTCTGGAAAATTGCTGAGTTAAAAATATGTTATTATATCTGAAAGGAAGACAATTTCGTCTCAACCCTTCAAAGGAAGGGAACATAAATTATAAATTCAGGCAAAAAATCCCATGCAATGACCAGCTCCCTCATCTTATCAATTTAAGAGTTGCCAACTCCACCTTAAGCCAATCCTCCATCTCCTTTTATATAACTGTAATTATCACAAATATTAAATCTCTGCCTGAGGCTGCTAGTGAGGTAAAGAGATTAGGCCATACACACTCCTGCATCATCGTACTGTTGATAACATACAACTTCATGCCTCCTTCGCTACACAAGCCCGTCGCTCTCTTGCCAAACTGATGCAAATGCTTGGCACACATTGAGAGATGGAGGCGAGCCATCTGGCTGCAGTTCAATCTGGACACGTTGTACTAATCAGCAGGGAGACATGCTTGAAGGACCTTATGGCATCTGTAATTGCTGTATCAAATGGCTGCACAGTCTTAGCTATTGTTTAATGGTGTGCCGATGGTAAGTCCTAGAGTGGATTCATGAAGGAGGGTATCTGAGGAGGTGAAACCACTGAGAGTGCCAGGGGTATACATGGCAGTTATGTGCTAGAATGATCATTTGCTAGCTAATGAACTGCACCAGATTTGGTGTAGGTGGGCTTTGTGCACAGTATTTTGTCAGAAATAAAGTGAATCGATTTACACACCAACACCATCATGACCACACCAGCTACTATGCATTTAGTACTTAGCAGAACTGGGCATGAACAGATACCACTTTCTCTCTTTTCATTTGCATTTCTCAAATTGTTTGTTTGAAGCAAATGCTTTATTCTACCTTCTTGGTCTCAAAAAATGTCTTTGTTTTTAGGACAATTGTCTCTTAAAAAAATAACTGCGTTATCACTTTTTTCTTGATCATTTCTGAAAGAATCCTCTTCTCCCCCAGAGTATTTCACTGAACCTCTCTTTTTATGTCAGTCTCCATAATGGGAATAACTACCAATTGTTGGCCTTTCTTTTCCATTTAATTCTAAGTTTCATTACATTTTAAGTTGCCTTCCTATGTTTATTCTTTTAACTAAATTAATGTTACAACTATTACACAATTTGCATTGGCAGGGTACCTTTGAGATACTCGCTGCATGAAATAAAATTGTCTCTTGGAAATTACACATTAAATTTTTCCACATTTTCATAGGCTGATTTTGAAAATCATCATCATATCCATTAAGCCAAATCAGAATAAAACAAATACAAAGTACAGAATAGGAAGAGCATGTGTAACAAAATAGAGTAAAATGAAGAAGTAAGAGGCAATGTAAATCATATTTCTGGATAACCCCCCATAAGTTATCCCAATCAGATTAACATGTGCAGATCTCAATTCTGCCAGTTTGTGCTATGATATATGTAATATCTGGATTCTGACTGCACATGAAATATATTGTTTTAATATCCCAATAGGCTGGTCGTCTAATGTGTGATCCAAAGTGCCAATCTCTCTCTTTCTCATAGCTGACATTCAAATAATATATATGCTATGTCTTCTGTCACTGGAGCTTCACGAAAGCAATTACTTTTGTCATAAGGAACATGGATAAACTATCCATATTTAACCATTGTGTCTGCTGTTCAAGCTTTGATTATAGATTTAAGAGTTAAGAATTTCATAATTCAACTCCTTTTTGAGCTCATGTGTTATGATAAACACATATTGGTAACCTTGTTTGTTACGCAATTGGTTTCAGTTGTGGTGCTTAATACAGCAAAATATATATGGAAACTATTTAGTCATAGGCACAGTTTTATCAGTTTTTAAAATTAAATTTGATTAACCTCAGAATACCACATTGCAATTTATTAATTCAATTAATACATTTGCTCTGTTTTATCTGATGTTACTGCTGCCTTTAAATTTCTATATTTCTTCTAGATCTTGAATGAATTAATCAATTCTCCTAGGCCAATAATTTTTCTTATAAAAAACTGAAGTGCATAAATTAAGGTGATATTATTTGCATAAGCTTTGGAAGAAGCTTGAATATTCTTTTAAAAAATAGTAGACAGTTTGTAAAACTTGGTTATTTATTCATTATTCAACTTATATGTTGCCCTCTTACCAAAGGCAACTCTAGGCAGTTTATGATCATTCAACTAATGTGCAATATAAAACATTAGAATAATAAATAGGGATCTAGATTTAAAATTCAAATTTAAAATTCAGTTAAATAATGTGATATGTGATTAATAAAACAGAAAAAAAATGCTTCAGGTATATTGGATATCTCAGAAAATATTCAGTAAAGGTTAGTTATGATCACTTTGCTGCTGAAGAGGCACTTCAGAGGTTGGAAGTTAAATCACATGGTTTAGCCTTGTTCTTTTATTATCATATTCATATGAATATCTTTAGAAAACTTTAGAAAAACAATTCCTTATTAAAGATGCATATATTCCTCTTGGCTGTATCTTCCATACTTGAAAGTATTAAGAATTATGGATCCTTCAGGCTTGAGGATTAGCTGCAAGAAATATTGGGCAATGTTGGAATATAAATCTATCATTGATTGACAACTGTCATTACTATCATATGATGTTTGTCAACATTACAACAAACCTCTGCATCAGAAGGGAAAGAGAAGTTTTACAAGCAATGTGGCCAAATATTCTATGACATAAATACTCAGGCTCCCTTTATATTTTTCCTGTATTAATGTGGAGTTATATAGTCTTAATTATTAAGATACACCATGCATTTTGTAAATGATTACATAATATAAAATGTGAATATGACATTTTCTATTTGTAATATTATGATGATAGATTACTGTGTTCATATTGTGCTCTTACTATTATTGTTTAAGAACCTCAAAAATACTTTCACAATGCTCACTACCCTTTTATTTTTACACCTCTAATTAGGTAACTCTGCTGGCAAGAGCAAATCAAACTAATAATGTTAGGATGACATTTTTATTACACATAACCAGAAGTCATAACCTAGGGATCCATCTCCTGAGATACCCAGAAGGCTTCTTTGTGCTGAATTAAAAGGGGAAATGTAGAACCACTTATTGGAACTCCATTCCTAGAGTTTGTAATGATGGGTGTGGACTGCAAATCGAGGCTACAATTCTGATATGATTGATTAAATTAGGATAAAGCATTACAGGCCTGCAGACACTTCACTTGGCATTCTTCCACTCTCCCTGCCCTGCAAGACTTAGATGTGTTTAAAACAAATCAATGGGAAGGTGGCATTTAGGAAAGGAAACCTCAAGCAGCATATTCATTTACAGGAATGTCTCAGAGACCCACTCACATCGTCCAGGCATTCTGAGAAAATAAAACAGGTAAGTAGCTGCTGCCCAATGATTTATTTGGAAGTACAACTACCAGCCCAGAAAAATTGTAAAGGAAAACATGGATGATAAAAGAACATTTGGTGACCAGCATTCTCACTGTTGTGTCTTTTTATTCATGGATAGTTTATGACTCGATGGGCCACCAAGGCAACTTTTTTTGTGTGTGTGATAAAATAAGCCTGTCATGGCAGACGTTTTATGAATGTGCATTCCTCACCTCCTTGCCCAGTTTAGCGACTTCTCTATGAGGCAATAAGTCCCATTCATTGTATGATTCGGCCATACAGGTTTTAGAGCTGTTGCTGGAAATTATGTTCTTGCAACCACTACACCAGGGGTGGGTTCCACTTACTTTTACTACCAGTTCGCAGTGGGAGCGCGCGCTTCTGTGCATACGCAGAAGCTTCTGCGCATGCACACCACCCATGATGATGTCATGGTGGGTGGGCGGAGCCTTCCACCGGTTTTACTACTGGTTCTATAGAACCGGACTGAACCGGGAGCAACCCACCACTGCACTACACACACACATCCTTGTACTGGATCCAGATCAAATCCAGACCGAATAAGCTGGAGTTGGATAAACTGGATAAACTAAGACATCAGTTTATTGCAAGAGCAGAATTGTATTTTGTTTTGCTGAGACTTTACCAGCATATCTGAAACTGAAACAAGCTGGAACTTTTTTCCCTTTTGAAATTCAGGGCTCCTATATAGTTGGCTGTTATATTAGTTCTAGTCTTATGACATCATGCCTCTCCATTTTTGAGCACTGTGTTCAGCATTGGATGCAACTTAGTTATGCTAGGAAGGACTATGGTGCAGGGTACTTTAGCAATATAACCAGTCTTAACCTTAGTTTCTGGGCAATTTCATAATCCTTGCAAATAAATTGCATGGCTTTATTGCTTCTGATTATATAAGCAACCGCATTTGCCTCAATGCTGCTTATATAAGCAACAATAGTTGGCCAAGGAAACTATTAATTCCTTTCCAATCCCAACCAGCCCCGCTCCCCAGCAACAGTATAGATGGGTGGATCAAAACAGTCAAGATGATATTTACAACCATGAGGTTAAAGCCGTTCCTTTTTTTTGTGGGTCAATGTGCTACATACAAAGAAACAAGGCTTTGATTGTGCAATCACCAATGCCAGCTCGACTTCTTTGATCCCTCTATGGACGCTGCTGACTCACACACAAACACACACAGAAAATCTAGAAACATTTTTATAATGCATATTCAGTGCAGTATTCTCAGGAACAAAGTTAGTCCAGACCTTTTAATGGAAAGAGAAGGAATATCGCTTTTACATCAGCAGCTGCTTATTTATTTATTGCAAATGGCCAGACAAATACAACATGTATTTAAAATGGGAAGAGGCTGTATAGTTGGAATTTTGTACGCCAGCAGACTCGGGGGTTAGATGCTGTTTGAATCTCATTTTTATCCTTTACCCAAAGGAATGTTGGAAAGAAATTCTGTAAAAGGTTTAGAACTCCATCTGTCTATCATTCTGTCAGCAGAATAACTCTCCAAAAGAACGGGAGCAAATATGTGGCAGGGGAGAAGCTGGAAAAAAAAATAGATTGAGTTTGAAAATGAACTGGATCAAGCCGGGACATCAAAGAAAAGTCTTCCTCAATGAGCAGAGTATATAAAGCCTATCCTATGCACACAGAGAGACTGATGCAGCACAAGGAATGCACATTCATAAAATGTCTGCCATGAGAGGCTTATTTTATCACACACACAAAAAAAGTTGCCTTGGTGGCCCATTGAGTCATAAACTATCCATGTATAAAAAGACACAACAATGAGAATGCTGGTCACCTATTTTTAATTCTGTTGTTCAGCTGGAGGGAGAACTCACTAGCTCATAACATTTCTTGCTAGTCTTAGTCTTTCAAAGGCAGAAGAAGTGAAGAGAGTCTATTTAAAATTGGTTTGTAAACAATCAGGGAGTAGAAACAAGGTGACAATTTTATCCAAGTGCCCTCTTTGAAAATACTTGATTACAATTTTCCTCTCTAATTAGTACTCTGTATCTTGCTGATTTGAGATAAAGGCCAGATTGGGACGTGCTGGTTGCAACCAGTAAGATATAAACATATTTCCATTTTATTTAAAGTTTTACAAAAAGAAGAGAGCAAGGACTAAAATTCAGGTCCTAATTATGGATGGCGGCAGGATAAAAATAAATGAATAAATAAATAAATCTCCTTACATTTTCCACAAAGTGTCAACACAAATATTTGTCCATCTTCCAATAGACAGACACATCTGTTGCCTTAGCCTAGCCCAACTCCAAGGGGGAAAGCCAAGATTTTAAAGCCTTCCTGAAGAATAACAAGTCACAGTCATCAGAATCTTGACTGTGTAAGAAATGGATACATATCTATACTGTTTGAGGTCTCCAATTATTTTTGCCTGTCTCACATGTTCTCACTGAATGAGGATTCTCAGGTCCCCTCTTTGAAGTAATACCTCTGATCAACCTTAAAGGTGCGCCTTTGTTGTTGTTGTTGAGATACCTGTTAGTTGAAGAAATATCTCATACCACCAAAATTCAGATGACTTTGACTTGTTAATCTTAAAAAAGGCTTTAAAAACTTGGTTTTTCCCCGCAGAATTGGACCAGGACAACAGATGTGCCTGTCTACTGTAAGACAGACTTCATGGGCTTATGAAGATGGATTAGGTGAGCTCTAGTGTTGCTGAAGTGGTTATTTATAGATTTTTCTTTTGTGTTTTTATTATGTTTCTTATTTGCAATATTGTTCGGGGAATTTTCTTTAATACATGCTGTAGTTACATGAGTTGGGCTGCTATTTAAATGTAATAAATAAATAAATAAATAAATAAATAAATAAATAAATAAATAAATAAATATAGTACTTAGACTTGTATATCACTTCACAGTGCTTTACAGCCCTCTCTAAGCGGTTTACAGAGTCAGCATATTGCCCCCCAACATATTGCCCCCCAACAATCTGGGTCCTCATTTTACCAACCTCAGAAGGATAGAAGGCTGACTCAAACTTGAGCCATTTAGAATCAAATGCTGGAATGAACAGTGAGTTAGCCTGCAGTACTGCATTCTAACCACTGCATCACCATGGTTCTTCAAGTATAAATAATACACCATGTTTAGAATTAAGCTTAGCTTGATTCTTAATAGAATGAAACTTGGCTCTCGCTGCTTACAGTCTCCAAGTGATCTCCAATATTTTCCCTGTCCATATAAGTGGCCTCTATAAGACAAAAATTAGCCCATGAAGGAACATCTGCAGTAGGCACTGGACAATGCTTGTTCTTCACATTACATATGGACTTCAAATACCTGACTTTCACCAGGTGAAACTTAGCATAGGCTAGGACAAGGATGGCTAACCTTTTTGCCATCGCATGCCAAAAGTGGGGGGAGTGCGGGGGTTGCGTGCATGTGTGTCCACACCCATAATTCTATGTAACACCCCCACACACACATGCATGTGTGCCCCCCCCATGCTCTCCCTGCTTGGCATGGGGGGCCCGGTAGGCCCATTTTTTGCTCTCCCCAGGCTCCATAGGCTTTCTAGGAGTCTGGGGAGGGCGAAAACGGCCTTCCCTACCCCCCCTCCCCCGGAGGCCGGAAACAATCCATTTTGCAACTTCTGGTGGGCCCAGAAGACCCAAAAATCAGCTGGCCAGCGTGCTCATGTGTGCTGGAGCTGAGCTCACGTGCCCACCGATATGGCTCTATGTGCCACCTGTGGCACGCATGCCATAGGTTCGCCATCACGGGGCTAGGATTTTCATACCATTGAAAATTTTACTAAATCAGCAACATAAAAATCAGAGGGAGGTCCATGGACTGGGTCTATCTAGCTCAGTACTGTCATTATTGGCCATGGCTCGCAAAAGTCATGATTTCACAAAACACTTCCAATAATGCCTGCCCTCTGCCCTTGAGCAAAACAAGTTGTACTGAGTTCATTGGATTTACTTCTGAGAAAACACAATGGAGATTGCATGGTACAGGACTTGCATTGCCGCTTGCTTCCTACTTAGTTATGTATATCTATTAATATTGCTGTTTGTTTACTGCTATACTGTCAAGTTTGTATTGATGGAGTGGGTGGAAAAATATGACACAGAACAAATTTCCTGCTAAATTGATAGGGTGATTATATTCTAAGTAAGCAAATATTATATCATACATTATGTCTGAGACTGAGATTTGTACAGCCCGCAGAGCTGGCAATTAGTACCACTGCCGCAAACACCAACTAGATTAATTTCATAATTGATACTTGGAACACAAGATATTAGCCATTTGAATTTATGGGATTGTACTCTTCTGCCCGGAGAAATATAACTTCATAACAATGGGTCAACAGTAGTTGGCAACTATGGTCAATATGTTCTCTAATTTCCAGTTTTAGTAATGCCACTTAATTCTGAGTACAGTTATTCAATAGTCACAAATATTTTTAATAGTTAATATGTTACACCTATTCATGCAGGTACAATTGAACATCTTAGTAAGGTTTGGATATGCTTTAATATAGTAGTTTGAGATTTCCAATGTACATCTGCTTGGTTATGACTTTCATAACCACTAAAATAGAATTGTGTTATTTATTTAATTTTATTCATTTTATTCATCAATCTATAAACTGTTTCAGTCAAGGCTACTTTGAGCAGTGTATAAAAGCTACAGCTGCAATATGAGTGCACTAAATAAAAATAATAAAATATAGCAGAAATACAATATATAATTAAACTAAAATTATAATAATTATAATAGTCCTGGCAAAGGAAACACTCAAGTCCCCAGTAATTTCTGGAATAGCCAAGTTCCAGAAGTCCAGAGCATGGATGCTATGTTGTCTCAAGGAGGAACGTTGATCCGAAGGAAAGAACCCTCATCAAGATTGCCCCTTTTTATATTCCTTCCTACCCACCACTTGATAGGTGGAAACCTTTAGTAGGCATTTACTGAGTGGACAGTTTGGGTTTGGCAGAATTTAGGACAGGCAGTCTTAAAGATAGTCAAACCCTGATCTGTATACGATAACCATCTGGTTATTGAGCCTTCCCAAACTTATTATTCTCCAGATGTGGTGAATTTTAGCTCCAATAATTCCAAGACATTCATACCAATATGAACCAATGAAACTGGAACAATTTTGATGATTCTATTTCTTACTGAGCCGTGGTGGCACAGTAGTTAGAATGCAGTACTGCAGGCTACTTCTGCTGACTGCCGGCTGCCTGAAATTTGGCAGTTCAATTCCGACTGGATCAAGGTTTGATTCAGCCTTCCATCCTTGCGAGGTTGGTAAAATGAGGACCCAGATTGTTGGGGGCAATATGCTGACTCTGTAAACTGCTTAGAGAGGTATATAAAGCACTGCATAGTGGTATATAAGTCTAAGTGCTATTGCTACTTTGCTATTTCTGCTTATTGAATAAATGTTAAATTTATTCAGGCATTGAAGAGAGAGCACATCTCTCCTACGGAAGCTCTCTCTCTGCCTTCACATTGGTTATGTGCAGTCTTGTTCATGCTCCCTAATATGGTCAGTATATGACAACCAAGGGAAGCCATTCTCAATCTTCAAAAACAATTAATCTCATGCGGCAAAATACCAAATATTGTTTTTCTAAATGACCAGGTTGATGTATATATTGAAAGTTGGTTAAAGTGTAAATCGCTTTAAGAAAAGAATTTTTAAAAAAAAAAAACTTTTCAAAATACAAGATTGAAGTAGCTCAGTTTGGCTGATTAATATCTGAAAGTATTTACTGAGCCCATAAAATTTGAGCACTTTGGGACATCTTGACATTTTGGCTACACTGCCAGAAAGAAATTTGTGACAGTAATAAAGAGCTAAAATATGCAAGAAAGAAATTGATTTTTTGGGGGGGAGGGGGAAATGGGATTGTGGGTATTTATGCATAGATAAATGTATTTTACACTTTGCTGTAAATTTAAACCTGGGTATGGACAGCAGGCTAAAGAAGGACTGTTAATTTTCAAATAACCTGTTTGCTAATTGCTTTCATCCCTGGTCAATTGGTTTCTGCACTATGCACTCTAAAGATAGCTCAGAATGAATGTGTTTGGGGAATGAGAGGTAATTAATACAAGCAGGCATCCTTAGCTGAGGTTTGGAAGACGGGAAAAACCTAAATTGTGCACTCTCTGGATATGATCTTGTTAAGATTGCTTTCTGTTTGCTTGGGCCCTTCTGCTTAGCCTGCAAGGTTTCTGCAAGTGTCAAAGCAAAGCTATATCAGTAGCACTTGAGCATTCAATTTTGACCAGAAGATAAAACTTTTCAAACAGTAACAGCAGTGAAGATGCATCACAATAGACTGTGTAACTATAATGAATTTATCACCTTCCTTTTCACTTTCTCTGCCTTACCTGGGTCCAGAAAGGCTGCCACTGTTGTCATTGGTTATGGCACCAAGCTTTTTCTGAGCATTTTCTTTCCTCCTTTCTCTTGTTTTTCATTGGGCTTCTTCAGAAACATTTGCCTGGCACACCATGGCCCATATATTTTATTCCTTTAAAACAGAAACAACAATGCATTTTCTTTTTCTATGGAGTTCTCTTTTTTTCCCACCCTCTCCTCTCCTTCGCATGGAGAGGCAATCCCAGACTTTGATCACCTTGAAGGAAAATGGCAGCAATGAAAGAAAAATGGGAAAGCAGTCATCCATTTTATAAGGTGACATGGTTTGATTTATTCCACGCTTAAAAGAGGTAAAAGAAACACCAGCAGCTGACCTGTAAGTTATTTAAAGAGTTATCCTCAACAGCTGAAGAAAAGTGTGGAGGCAATATATACGCATGTTGGCCAATATATTGGATATAGCCAATAGTAGTTATATTACTATGCACCGTCGATTGGATAGGTGAACGGATTAATTCTCAAATAATAGAATATGAGTATTAGAAGGTGCCAGTTTAGCCAACAAATGCATTTCTTCCATCCTCACAGAAATGAAACACTGTATTATATCCCTAGATCAAACTACTTCTCTCATTAACACTTGCAGAAGATCCACTATGAATGCTGGTTTATCTGGCTGGAAAAAGAACTCAAGCAGGTCTCAAGTCTGTCTGTCTGTCTATTATCTACCTATCCTACTGTGATAATGTCACAAGATATACCAGAAGCAGAACCATCTACATCAGTGGTGGGATTCAATTTTTTTTACTACCAGTTCTGTGGGCGTGGCTTGGTGGATGTGGCATGGCTTGGTGGGCATGGCAGGGATTTTTACAGCAAGGATACTGTAAAATCTCCATTCCCACCCCACTCCAGGGGAAGATTACTGCAAAATCCCCATTTCCTCCCATCAACTGGGATTCGGGAGGCAGAGAATAGATGGGGGCAGGGCCAGTCAGAGGTGATATTTACTGGTTCTCCAGAACTGGTCAGAACCTGCTGAATACCACCTCTGATCTACATAAAACCATGACTTATACTTCCTCACAGCATATTTTTCAACACCCACCACCTTCTTAATATTGAATATATTTTAGAGTCGTGTCTATCTCTTTCTCTCATTCTCTGCCCTTCCTCTACCAATACCCAAACCTAACAATGGTGCATTTGTTTGTTATCTACTATAGGATTTAAATGGGGTCCCTCTTACCAGTCATATGAGGGAACTGCCTAGAGGTAGTTTTTAACTTACTAAAAGATCACTGTAAGAAAAGCATGCTGGAGAGTATAAGAAATGCATCATTCAGAAATGTATTGGTCTTTTAAACACTACAATCTTGATAAATGCCAATGAAGAAAAGAACTGATGTCATTTGCTCAGTGTAAAGAGAGAGAAAAAAAGAAAGAGTTGGCTGGACAAATACTTGGTTACTGAAGAAAGTAAATTCAAATAGCAGCTTTCTATAGTAAACCTGGTTATCTGTTCCAACAATTCTCAATTGCTGAAAATGCCCTGTTGCAAAATGTCCATCTGGTTGGCCTACAAACAAGAATAATTTTCTTGCTGCATTGCAACTATCCCAACAAAGTAATAAGACTAATTCTCCCAGCTTGCCCTTGTTCCTGTTGTAGGCCCATCACTGCCCATCCTGAGGAGGAGGAGGAAGAAGAAGAAGAGGAGGAGGAAGAAGAAGAGGAGGAGGAGGAAGAGCAGGAGGAGGAGGAGGAGGAAGAGGAGGAGGAGGTGGTGGTCAAAGAAGATGGTTATTCAAGAAATACATTCTCTTTAGGAAATGCTGAAAATAAAGTGATGTCCCTCTCTAAACCCAAGATATACAGCATTGGTCATCACAATGCCCTTTCCTAGAGAGCAAGGCAGAAGGTTTTCACTATTCTCTTTGGGCTTCTTGAAACCTAGAGCAAAATGTACAGAGAAGGAAAATAACAAAGAACTAGCCTAATTCAGTATGATACAGCTGGCTAAGCTAGAGGGGCCTTCAGAGCAGAGAGAAGCTAAAAAGAACTCACTGTTAGCCCTTTTCCCCTTGGTATCCAAGAAGACAAAACAAAGGAATACAGAGATCAAAGGGTACAGTGCTAACAATGGGGGAAAAAAACCAGAAAAGAAGCAGACACGAAAATGATAGGGGGAATCTTGATCCCCAAGTAATATTTTACTAAAGAAGAGATTTCTGCCATTCTGTTGCTCAATGTGAAAAATGGAAAATAAATATATATACGATAGCTGTCTTCAGATTTGTCTAGCTGGTTCTATACTGGGAAGTGAATGTCAAGTTTATTGCACATTAAGAAATATGGTATATTTATGCATTATTTTCAAATGCTATTCTTGAATATAGGATTTTGAAATATATAAATAAGAAGCATAGACAGAATGTCAAATGCTAAAGCATTATATAGGAGTATCTAGTATACAACAAACAAAATATTGGGATTTTTAACTGGCTTTTATTGTATTCTCGGAATCAAATTTATCCCATACTGCAGGCCCTCGTGGAAATTTAAAACAATGAATAATAGATTATATGGAGCTAGGTAGGAGAACACCTAGCTAACCTTAGGCTGATCACAAAAAAATCAGACATGTTTAGAACTTAGGTTGGAGACCCTCAGAAGATTCTAGCACTGAAGGCAAATTGGGAAGTTGACAACATCCTGAGATGCAGAGACAAATCAGCTCTGCTGTTGCAAAAAAAACAACAACAACTCCACAATATGGACAAGTGATGATATATATGTGAAGTTCTCAAGAGTCAAACATACAAAGTAGAGTTAAATATATATGTGAAGTTTATATGTGAAGCTCTCAAGAGTCAAACATATAAAGTAGATTTAAATTTAATACAATGACCAATGTTCAGCATATCAAAAAGGCATAATAAAAAGATAAAATGAATTATCTTTCTATCTATTAAAATGAAATTAGTAATATGATTCTAGACTGACAAATTTATCATGTTTGCACTGGTTATTACAGCATTTTTCACTTCAGCAACACAAACTTTTGCTGCTGTTGCTGGTAGTACGGGTCAGAAAGAAAAGTCTAATATAGAAATAGCACTGGCAATAGCACTTATATACCGCTTCACAATGCTTTACAGCCCTCTCTAAGCAATTTACAGAGTCAGCATATTGCCCCCAACAATCTGGGTCCTTATTTTACTGACCTTGGAAGGATAGAAGGCTGAGTCAATCTTGAGCCATTGAGAATTGAGCTCCTGACAGTCAGCAGAATTAGCCTGCAGTACTGCATTCTAACCACTGCACCACCACATTATACTTCTTGCAGGAGGAGGAGTTTCTCATTCTTGCCCAGATCCCAGTAAAAATTGCCATGAAACAGTACTTGTTGGATGGTTTCTATTTCCCCAGAGTTCTGTGGGAGATGTATTCTATTAGTGGGGTTTTGGTGAATCTGCCTGTAACAATGCCAAAAAGACTACTTAGTGCCTACCTCTAAAAAAAGCAAAAAACTTTCTTCCATAATTTAGGGAAGGATAAAGTATATAAATAGCCTGCAGATTACCATGTGCTTTTCGCTAACAGGATGCTGCTGTTCCAGGAAAAGATGCTAACTTTGATTTGGTATTCCGCATACTTTCACCCTTTGAAGGACAATCCTTTTGCCTTGCCAAAAGTGGAAAATAGAAGCCAATCAATAGTGATCCCAGAGACTCTCAGTCTCTGATTTGCTGCTTATATCTATTGTGAAGCATGGCTCTCCTTCAAAATTAGCAGCACCAGACTGTTACAGAAGAATGCTATCTTCTACCAATTTATTATAATTAATTGGCATGCCCTCAGGTCTATTTTGGGCACTCCTATCTCACGCCTAACTACTGTATTGAGGACTAACTTAGAGATACCAATGTGGGCTTTGGTTTGTATTGGCTCAAGAGTATTTGGCTTCATGTATAGTTTGTATCTGTGCTCCATTTACAATTCAAGCAAAGGTTTTAGCCTCAAATAATTTTAGGGCTGCGAGTATTAATTCCTTTCCTTTGGTGGAAAAGAACCTCTTAATAGCCATTGGAGATTTTGAAGCTGTTTGGGCAATGTGTTCCTGATAGGCTTCCAAATCCCCTGGGCATGGAAAACAAATCCCAAATCTTTAAAGGTAAGCACCTGTTTGATTTTATTTCCATTTATTATCCAATTGCACCGCTGTGGTTTCCTCGCAAATGCCAGCACTTTTGATTTTTAATAATTCACTTTGCTGAATTGGATTATGGCTTTCGTGACCTTTTTAAATCCAATGGGAGTGCACAACATGACTACTGCATTGCCCACATAGAAGAGGGATTCTAAATTTGGCTGCGTTTTCAGGAGCATGGAAATTGGAATTATTTAGGCAACTGGACGTAAAGCTGATGTAGAAATTATACAGAGCTGGAACCGCAGCTCAAACCGCAGGAGATTTTACAAACAAACATGGGTACATATAGCACATATAGCACATATCTACCATGCCATTTCCTTTCAGAGTAAATCCTGAAGTGCATATAGAGTGTGTGTGTGTATATGGAAACACACACACACACACACACACACACGTGTGCATATGTACATGTATGTGTCAGCAGTGAAATTCCTCTGAAGTCTGCTACCAGTTCTGTGAATCTGCTACCGAATGTGCGCTTTTCTGAGGCGTGCCCGTGCAGCGCTAAAAAAGGACCGTTTTGAAGCCTTCCAAGTCTGCAAAGATAAGTAGAACAGCGAGGGGGGGAATCCGCTGTGCCACATGATTTAGATTAGCTAGAAAGCTGGAAATCCGACAATCCTAGCTAATATAAATTGCGCGTCACAGCTGATCGTTGCCCAGCTGATCGTCAGAAATACCAGTTCACCTGAACTGGTAGCATTTTTTACTACCGGTTTGCCTGAACCGGTCCAAACTGGTAGCATTTCACCCCTGGTATGTGTATATATGTGTATCTATACCAATCACTATACCCCTCTATATCTCTCTCTATGCAAATCATCCTCGCTTCTACAACATTCATGGGATGCTTCATTAATTGCCCTTTGTTCTTCAAAGTCTCAACTCCCTCTCCTGAGTTCCTAATCAACTCCAACCATTTCCTTTTAGCC